GTAATCCCACGGTCATTGAACCAGTTTTTGGTGCTTTTGGCAAAAGTTGCTCTCATCAGAAAAGAGGACTTTGGACCAAGACAAGTATCTAGATAGCTCTATTCATAGGCAACACAAATATTGCAGGCAGAAATCTATTCAAGGCAGGATATTTTGAAACTCCTTGTAGAGAAGTCTGAACAAAGGCAGAATGGTAGGATTAGAAGCAGCTCCCCTCACTCAAGATCCAAAGCCGGACAAAAGCTATTAAGACACAATAGGAATTGCCCAACTCTCTTTCAGAACAAAAGCCCCTTCATTTCATGACTGCAGAGCGATCCAGACTTCCCCTGGGAGCTCAGATAAACAATAAGCCAGAGATTGACCAAATTAGCTCAGACAAGCACCCAGGATTTGCATTTCCTCTTTGGCCTATAGAGCCAACTGTGACCCCTACATGACCCCACAGGAATCTGACAATAGCCAATAGAACATTAAGGAACATGTTCTTGCACAGGAAGCTCACATACAAAACCCCAAAGAAGATATAAAAGCCACCCACTCTCAACTCCATTTTCTCTGCTGCCCAGAGCCACAAACCTACATGGTTCTGCTTCATCAATAAACCATCTTTCCAATCAGCTTCCGGTGTCTTCCTCCCAGCTTGGAACTGAACCAGACGGATATTTTTTTCCCACAAGGGCAAAGATGTCAGGCCTGCAGCCATATTCCTTTTGGATCTCTTGGCCTGCTACACTTTCTATTATTCTACTATGCCTTTTCTATTGTGGGAAAATGGGAGGGGGATTGTATGGAATTAAATGCTATGTAGCCAAAATAAAATCCCTTTCTAGGAAGCCAACGTCATCATCCTTTGTCTCTCCACCTCTGCACCTGGCTGGAACTGGATGGGTGGAAGCTGCCAGCATGGCAGTGAAAGATTGGGCCATGGGAAGCTTTCAGATTCGGGTTTTCTCAGATGTGCCCACATGGCTCTCTTAATAAATTGGAAGCTTAATTTAATTTAATTTATTAGATTTATAGGCCGCCCAATCCCGGAGGACTTTGAGCAATACTTTGCCTTGGACTCCGATTTCATTTTTGATGCTATTTGGAACCCTGACAGTCCATTTACAAATCTAGGAACCAATCAATGTCACCCTTTAAAGGGAAGTGTCAGTACAATGGGAATGTTTGGCCACCTTGATACCTGATGCTCTGAGGTTTGCCTGCCTTTCCAGGCATCAAAAAAGGACATTCTGCTTATTCTGCAATTACTATACATCTGATCATAATTGTCACTACTGTACTATCACATTTGTTTATTTGTATTCTTCATACAAATTCTCACACACACACATTCTCCAGACATTGTGCAATGAGTATACCAGCCAGTTTAGAATAACATTGTATGCATCTAAATATGATACTTTATATAAAAATATATAAAGCATGCCTCAGTACAAATGCAAATGGGAGCATGTAGTGGATGTCATCATTCCCTCTCCTCAGACAGCTGCCCGAGGGACCACCAGACAGAAACACCATGACCGGCAAAAGAGGGATCCTGGACTCCTAGTGGACAACCATTTAAATATTGAAGTTATGGTGGAATAATTAGTAATTCTTAAAATATTAAATAACAGTATTTAGTAGAGGATAACAAATACATGGCACAAATAAATGTTATTATGTTTAAATGAATTAATGGGGGAAATGATAAAGGATTACAAAAAGAGAATAGTATTGTTGAATTTGGAATATTAGGACTATACATACTAATTTGTATTATTGTTAGCATTGTTTAAAAAATACTTGACACAGTCAATGCACTGTCCACAAAATATGTATGTTTATATGGAATTTTTTTTTAAAAAATGGCAAAAAAACACCAGTCATGAATTTAAATCTTTGTGATTTTGTTTGTGTGAAGCCCACTAATCTAAATGGATGTATTTGTTGGAAAAGAAGAAAATAAAAACATTGCATGGGAACTGTTGTGATAACCCCAAAACTATTTTTGAAAGCGAATGATGTTCTCTGGAGTATATTTTAGGTATGAAAGTAGTAGATCTAGAAGAGGGGTGTCAAACTCAAGGCCCGGTGGCCAGAACTGGCCTGTGGGGTGCTTCGATCTGGCCCACGAGGCCACCCTAGAAATAGAGAAGGACTATCCCGCAGTGCCACTGCCAGTTGAAACGGAGCTTTCAGGGGCCACGGGTAAGAGCTCCTCCTGAGCTCTGTTTTTGCTGGCAGAGGGTTGCGGGAGGCTGTTGCAGCTGAAAACGGAGCTCAGGAGCCTGTTTTTGCTGGCAGAGTGCTGGGCCCCCCACAGGTGCCCCCGACACGAGTTCAGCTGGCCACACTCACCCCAGCCACGCCCACCCCTGCCTCCTGAGATCAAACACAACCCTGATGCGGCCCCCAGTGTAATTGAGTTTGACACCCCTCTTCTAGATCTACTACTTTCATACCTAAAATATACTCCAGAGAACATCATTCGCTTTCAAAAATAGTTTTGGGGTTATCACAACAGTTCCCATGCAATGTTTTTATTTTCTTCTTTTCCAACAAATACATCCATTTAGATTAGTGGGCTTCACACAAACAAAATCACAAAGATTTAAATTCATG